CAGGAGGAGATCATTCCCTGGCCCCTCAAGGTGGCCCACCACCACAATACAAGGGTTATCCCCAATTCCCTCACGCCAACTGCCCATGCCTGCCTTCCTGCCTCTCCCTCCCAAGACCATGTTGTAACTCTTCGGGTATGTACACACACATGGCGTGTCTGTCTCCGGTGTCTCTATGGGAGAGTCCACCAGATGGTTTGCTATAGCCTGGCACCTGAGCCAGAGCAGGAGAGCACCTGAGCCAGGACAGGAGAAAGCTTTTTCAGAACAGGAAAGAAGGGGGAAGGGGAAAAAAAAGCACCTGAAGAGGAAGCTTCCTCTTCAGCACACTTCTCCTCATCTCTCCCAGATGAGACTGTGCTGCCCACCCCTCATCACTAGGTGAAGATTTAAGAACTTTCTGGATCTTACCAAGAGGGTGGCAGACAACCTGCAAATTCCCTTACAGGAGGTGGCAGATACACATCACAAGTTGATGGAAATTCTGCACACTACTTTCTCATCTAGAACTGTCCTCCCAATTAATAAGCTGATTCTAGATCCTACCAAAATCATCTGGCAGAGCCAGCCTCCATCGCACCAACCAGCAACAGAGTGAAAACAAAAACAACACTACATCTCTACCCAAAGAGGCAGACTTTGTTTTCAGCATCCGCAGCCCAACTCCATTAACCGTAGTGGATGTGGTTAATGCATGAAGCAAGCAACATAATGCCACGTCAACTCCATATGATCAGGCTTCAGAAGATGGCGTATTCATCAACAACATTACTGTTTAGAGTCGTAAATTACCAAACTGTCATGGCCAAAACAATTTTGTTAATCTTGGGAAACCCAGCATGTTTCTGAAACATTACTGGAAACACAAAAAGAACAGATTCAGACCATTCTTAGAGAAGGTCAGTTAATAGCCAGACCGGTCCTAGAGACACCACTGGATATAGCTCTTACAGCTGCCCGCCCAGTCTCCATGACAGTGGTACTGAGGTGGGTTGTGAGTTTGGTTTTTGTTTTTTTTGTTGTTGTTGTTGTTGTTCGCTACACCTCTCTAGATTGCCCAAAGAGCTACAGACTTCCAATTTGAAGGGCCAAACTCTTCAGAGAAGACAGATATTCTCTCCACATCCTGAAGGATTCTTGGACCGCACTACACTCCTTAGGAATCTACACTGTGGAACAGAAGAGAAGATATACCTCTCAACCACACCACAGATCACAATCTTCTCAATACTCACCATCTCTGTGCTGTTATGAGCAACAGTGTAAGAGGCCCAGGGCTCAAAAGTGAGAACAGTCTGCACCCCAGTCCATGACCTCTCAAACTGCCTCTTATAAGCTGGTCGGGGGCCTGAACTAATGATACCTTACAGCATCAGCTGCCATCTATACACCTGTCACGCCACTCAGAAGTTACCTTACGTTACTTCACAGCAGTTAGGACCAGCTGTAGAGCAAAGAGATTGATTTCTAGCCCTGAACCTACAGGGTGCCTACTTCCATATCTCAGGTACAACCATTTTACAGGATATTTCCTGCTGCTTACCTTTGGGGCAGGATCGTTATAGGTACTGACTGCTCCACACAGGGTAGTCTCCAAGGTTCACTTCATTGTAGTGGCATACTAACCCCGGTACAGTGACTGGACTTTATCAGCACCAACCTGATGCAGTACAAGCGAGAGCGCTCCTCTCACTACCCACATTCACCACCCTGGGACACGTCTCCCTAATAGGCTGAGGAGCTCACCTACACAACAACAAGGTTCAGGACAAATACCCTTCCACATAAATGACCTTCAGTATCACTCTTTTGGGGATAAGGGCTGTCAGGCGTGCCTGTAAACAAACTCTGTCTTTCATCAAAAACAACACACAAAGGTTATGATGGACTTAGTGTGACCTGTATGTTTTGTATAAACTGCCAAGGAGCTGCCAGATCTCCCTCCCTCTGCAAGACAGCATTCAAACTTTGGAATTGATGCACCCATCACAATGTGCTCATCTCAGCTGTCTGTCTACAAGGGATACAGAATGGGATAACCAACAGTCTCAGTTGAAATTTTCTCACAACAATGAGTGTATACTGAATTCAGAGGTGCTTCAAGATATAGCCACCCTTTGGGGAAACATTCACTGGTAGTTGCCCTCATCTTCCCAGCGGACAAGGCCCACTTGTATGTCTTTTCCCAGTTTCCTACCCTATCCAAGATTCTGTTGAAAATTCAACGAAACAAAGCAAGAGTTATTGTGATTGCCCCTCTCGACTATGACAAGTCTGGCTCCCTTACCTGACGCAGATGGCAATATGCCCTCCTGTTCCGCCTCCAGGCTTGGATATTTCTTTGTTCCAAGGCTTAGAAGCAGAATGCTCTGAAAAGCTGAAACACATGTTGCAACACAACCACAAGTTGACCACTCCACATACCTATCTACAAAATGGAAACGACTCCAAATTTGTACCATTCCAAATGGATAGACCCAACCTCTTCTTTCCTCCCTCTGATTTTGCACTACATTTTAAACTCTCACTCAGCTCCCTTAAGGTACAGCTCATGGCGAAAATGGCTTCCCACTTGGAGTTTGCTCAGCCACTACTGCGTAGACTCTTTAAGGGCATTGGGACTCTCTTCCCCCATGTGACACCACCCGCTCCAGCCTGGGACTTGACTCTAGTTATCAGAGCTTGGACTAGACCTCCCTCCCTCTCTTACACCTGTCCATGGCGACAGCATTTCTAATTGCCTTCACCTCAGCTAGGCACATAGGAGAAATAGCGGCCCTGATGGCACACCCAACATTCAAGGCCTTTGTCTTTAAAAATAATAACAATAATAATAAATCTAAGGCCATATCCCAAGTTTCTCCCTACTTTTTCTGTACTTTCCATATGAATCAACAGATCCATCTCCCTGTTTTTTTCCCAAAACCACATTGTGACAACTGGAAAACAATTGTGCATATGCTAGGTATTAGAAGGACATTAGCATTCTACTTGGACAGGACTAAGGACTTCAGGAAATCCCCTAAACTCTTCCTTTCGTCCACAGAAAGATCCAAAAGCTCTGTGATATCTCCTCAAAGACTATCCAAATGAGTCTCTAGTTGCATTAATCACTTAGCAACTTGCTTCTGTCCATACGCATTCCATGAGATCAATTCCTACCTCAGTCACATTCCATAGGGATTCCCCTATCTCCCCAATCTATAGAGCAGTGATTGGGGCCTCTGTCCATACTTTCGCAGAACATTATGCAATAACTGAAGATTTGGCCGCTGACACCATCTTCGACTCCACAGTACTCTCTGTAGTAAAAGACTCCTCTCTGAAGTGCCAGCCTCCAGTGGTGGGTACTGCTCCGGAGTCACCTAAAGTGGAGCACCCATAGGGACACTACTTGATGAAGAAGAGGCAATTACTCACCTTGTGCAGTAATGATGGTTCTTCGAGATGTTTGTCCCTATGGGTGCTCCACAACCCGCCCTCCTCCCCTCTACTTCAGAGTTCTCTTTAGGATTCTGTGGTAGAGAAGGAAGTGAGGGGGGTTCACCTGTGCAGTGCTAAATAGCCTCGAGGCAGACCACGAGGGAGGGAGAGCACATGTGCGGGCTCAATGGGACGCTGCTACCAAAAATCTCCGATTAGAGGTGCAGGGGCACACAGACACCTAAAGTGGAGCACCCATAGGGACACGCATCTCAAAGAACCATCGTTACTGCACAAGATGAGTAACTGCCTCTTCTGCCAAATTGATGTCAAAAACTTTTGGGTTCAGTTCAGCAGACTCTAATGGGGCTAGTTCCTGCACATTTGAGTTTCTGCCTGAAGAGGCATTCACTACGCCATTATGTCTCTTATATTGAATTTGATGCCTTGATTCTATTATGTTATAATATAAAGCTCCCATTATATAAGGTGTAGATATATCATTCCCCTGCAAAACAAACAAAGAACTAAGGATCAAGTGGATTTCCTCAGACACACTAAACACTTAAAAGCAAGGAAATCATAAGCCAAGACAACATTCTCAACCAGCAATACCACTTTCTAAGCATTAGCCATTCACTATTGTGTTACTCGACACCATCACACACTTCAATAGAAACATCCAGCTAATGTGATAAATGGATTGACTATCATTTGCAAGGTATGAAACTTGTGGATAGGTCATTCTCAGTAGTGAACCCTGGTTTTTTAATTCAGTCTCAAAAGAAATACATCTGACTGCTATCTGGGCTGTGTTTAAAGCAAGATGTAAGATGCATCTATTTTCCATGCCTCTTGGAATCTGGATTTTCTGGGATCTTCTGACATGCAGTTCAGTGGCTTGGTTTTCCCACCTCTAAAGTTACCTAGTTCTGAGCAGTGGGATGTGCGTATGAAGGACTACATGTGACCTCTCTGAGGGAAAAGTTTGCAGTTATTTATATGCCTTGTACAATGCACCCAGATACTGCTGGGATCAGTGGTCAGCACACTGGGCTAGGGCATAGGAGACCCGGGTGTAATTTCCTGCTCCACCATGGACATCCTTTGTAACCTTGGGCAAGTCACTTAGCCCTTCTGTACATCAGTTCCCATTTGTAAAATGGGAATAATAGCACTGTCCTTCCTTACATAGGTGTTGGGAGGATAAATACGTTAAAGATTGTAAAGTGTTTTGTGAGCTACTGATAAATGCTAAATAAGTAGGCTTTATTTATTTAATTATTTATTTTTACTACTACCACCACTGCCATGAGGCTGGGCACATTGGCTAAGGGAGGATGTCTCTGGAAGTAACTGCTTAGGTGATACTGTAAAAATTGTTAAAGGAGTATCAGCTTTGTTCTAACGTAATTTTTGGACAGCCCAATATGAGTTGGTTGTGTTTCCTCTTAACATCAGTATTACGTTGAAACGCTTTTGGTTTTAGACATATCTGTTGAAAGTGATAAGACACTGCACTACTGTATAGTAGGCTAAGTTTACTGATTTCAACTAGTACTGTACATTTTTTCTAGGTATGGCAATGTGGAGGTACTGTTGAGGTGCTGCCTTGCTCCAGGATTGCCCATATTGAAAGAGCCCATAAGCCGTACACAGAAGACCTCACTGCTCATGTCCGAAGGAATGCTCTAAGAGTGGCCGAAGTCTGGATGGATGAATTTAAAAGCCATGTTTACATGGCATGGAATATACCCCAAGAGGTAGGTTGCAAAGATTACCGGCATGCTTGGATAGCCTTAGCTCTGGGCCCAAAATATGAGCTCTAGTTTAGGACTACATTTAGCCACACTTATTCATATAGAGTAGCACCTTACTCTGTGAGCCGTTTAATGGCCTGCAGTTTATTTAAAAATGACTTTCTTGCCGTGTTGCTTTTTTCTTATTCATTGTTGACCCTGCAAGGCTCTTTGAAGTTAGTACCTGCAGGAATGCCAGAGATGAAGCTTATATGCAGTGTTTTTGTAGCCATGTTGGTGCCAGGTTATTAGAGAGAGAAGGTGGGTGAGGTAATATCTTTTATTGATCCAACTTCTGCTGGAGAGAGAGACAAGCTTTCAAGCTTACATGGAGCTGCTCTTCAGCTTCAAATTCATGTGTGTATCTAGAATACTTTTTACCTGTGTTAGAGTGAAGCCCTGTCGTGCAATATGGGAGTATTAAATTTCTACCAGTCATGCTGGAAGGGGTGTATTTTTTCTTTTCCAAGATCCCAGTGTTACTCAGTGGGACTCACCTAGTAGGGGTGGAAATCCCCTTACAGAACAAGTGGCATTTCATGGCTCTAGGTCTCTATATGGATAGCATATTCCCACTTAGGTTACTGTGAGTAACACTTACTTTAAAAAAAAAAAAAAAAAGCAAACAGCAGCCACAGCACGGGAAGCCAAAATTAGTAAAAGCAGACTCTTGATTTTATAGCTATGCTACATAGCCTTTAATGCATGTGTGTGTCAAAGTCCTCACTACATGCTGTGCTGTTTATATTTACTAAATAAACAATAAAGAAAAAGATTTAAAAATGTTAGAAATTGAATATATGATATTATTTATTATTAGGTCAATTAGTTCATCCCCTTAAAAATACAGACTATAGACACACTCCCATACTGATCTGTAGAAATACATCAGGGGCCAGATCCAACAAACATTTATTCAATTAAGTGATCTTTGCTCAGATGAGTAATCTTAGGACCAAATTTTGTTCTCAGTTCTACTCATGTAAATATGGTTATAACTTCCTAGAATTTATTGAAGTTATTCTGAATTTACCCTAGCATAACCAAGGGCAGAATTTGGCCTCTCATTTTAGTTTTGAGTCCTTTAAATGAATCTGTTTGCTTTGCAGTTGCAACTCCCTCCAGCTGTCTCTTGCTAAAGAATATAGCACAAAACAAATAAATGAACTCAAGCAATTTATTTTATTTAATTTTTTAAAATTAATAAAAGATCTCTCTCAAATCTCTTTCTGAACAATTTTTCAGCTGCAGTGAAACTGGCATAATTTGTCCTGTTACTATTTTTTGTGCTAAAAGTAAAACAATGAACTTTGCCTAAGTTAGTTTCACCACACCTGAGGAAAAAAAGTTATTTTAGCTAGGAAAAGACCGTTTTTTCCCCCAGTTCAGTAATGGACTGTTTCCAGTTCGTCTCTTGTGGAACTACACAGAAAGTTAGAGGTCCTACATATCTGGCTGGGTCAAGAGGGGAGGGGGGCGGGGTTTGGTTTGATTACTATTGATAATGTGCTTGCACTTATGAGCAGAAGATCTGGGGAAGGAAGGAGAGAGGAGATATAATGCCACTACCAGAAGAAAATAAATCACATTAGCTAAAACTAGTACAGAATGCTTTACACCAAAGCAAAATTTCCTCTGGAAATTGGGTGATGGTGGGAGGAGGAGGAAGGCAGTAACTGGCATGGAAGCAGCAGCCACATCTCCATTGTATCCCTTAAGTTTCCAACTTCTTTCTCTTAAGACTGCCTAGTAATGCTTGTGCTGAGTAATTCCTCAGTGGCAAACAAAAGGGCAAAGAGGATCGGACCCAGTAGAATGTTAGATGACTATGGTGTCAGCGGTTCATATGTGTAATGTCCCACTGTGGAGATGAATGAGAAAGTGAAGCCTGCTGTAGGCAGCACAACAGACCCCTTGAGGTGACAGGCATTTTTATGTATAAGGGTTTCTCCTCAGCACAGAGTGAAAATGACCAAGAGGAACATCAGGGGAAGGGTGGTGTAGTGACTAAGAGTCAGGACCAGGGCTCAGCTGATTGGAGTTCAAATCCCAGTTTGGCCACAAACTTTCTGTAAAACCTTGGCCAGGCCATTTAATTTCTCTGTGCCTCTGTTCCCCATATGTAAAAGGGGATAAAACTCCTTTCTTTTCTCCTACGTTTGCGGGCAGGGACTCTCTCTCTTACTATGTACCTAGCATGTCTCAGTTGGAGCCTCTAGGTGCCACAGTAGTATAAAAATGGTATCTTCAAGGTAGAAGATGTTCTAGTTTTCATATGGTTAAAAATCTATGAAACCTGAGCCTGGCAGTGATTTGGTATTAGCTGCAAAGTTAATACGAAAAATGTCAGAGGAGATATGGGCCCTCAATGAGCTAACAGAAAATCCCTCTAACAGTGAGGAACTATATTCTTGTATAGATGTGCCAGGCTGGGCCCTGCTCCTCCAACGTCCCAATCCTGGCATAGGGGACATATTGGGATTAGGCATGGAGCATGGTGGAGTTTGGCTCCATTGTGGCAATCTGGCACTGGCTTAGAGTCCACTAGGGGAATTGAATAATTTAAAGCACCTAGCAGCAGTTTGATGTTTCACTGGGATCAGGGCTGGCCTCAAGAATCAGGAAGCTTTACTCCAGTAGGAGTAAAGAAGCTAATGAAATCACTGTCTGATCTTTCACAAGTATTGTTGGTGAGGGGAAGTGGAAGATATGTTACAGGCTTCCACCTATCGGCACGCACCAAATCAGTCTGAAAAGTAAACCAACATCATTAGTGTGGGAGGTTTTTTCTCTCTTTCGAAAGGGCAGAAGTTATGCAATCTGCTGTTTGTACAGAAAAAGTGTCAGAGAAGAGAAAGAAAGAACGTCTATGTTTTTGAGTTGGTTTAAGAAGCAATTCAAAAAATAACTTTGACACAGCACGTGGAACATCCATGCTGCAGATTACCAGGAGTGTAGTAGGGCACAGGGCTAAAGGGATGAAGAGCAAGGAAAGTATTGGACTGATTATGTCAAAGTCCTATATCCTACTGAGTGGCATTAGCTCCATTGCACCTTTCTTCATCCTAAGACTTCATTAAGGGTGGAATATAAACTATGGACACTCTTCAAGCCATAGCTAGTTTCAGAAAGAGACAAAAGAAGATAATGCAGATGCACAAAGTGGGTGTGTGGAAGAAAAGGCAAATTGGCTGGTCAGATATTGTTGATTATTGTTGCACTTGTATAAATGTTTAATTATGTGTTTGGACAGAAATTAAACATTCATGCAAAATAGAGGGATTGGAACCCTTATAGTGGATTTTTTTGTTCACCTGTATCAGCCACGGCTTTTCATGCAGTATGCATGTATTACAGTGATGAGAAGCTGGATATGAGTCAGCAGTGTACCCTCTTTGCCAAGACGGCCAACGGCATATTGGGCTGTATTAGTAGGAGCATTGCCAGCAGATCAAGGGAAATGATTATTCCCCTCTATTCGGCACTGGTGAGGCCACACCTGGAGTATTGCGTCCAGTTTTGGTCCCGCCACTACAGAAGGGATGTGGACAAATTGGAGAGAGTCCAGCGGAGGGCAATGGAAATGATTAGGGGGCTGGGGCACATGACTTACGAGGAGAGGCTGAGGGAACTGCGGTTATTTAGTCTGCAGAAGAGAAGAGTGAGGGAGGATTTGATAGCAGCCTTCAACTACCTGAAGGGGGGCTCCAAGGAGAATGGAACTAGGCTGTTCTCAGTGGTGGCAGATGACAGAACAAGCAGCAATGGTCTCAAGTTGCAGTGGGGGTGGTCTAGGTGGATATTAGGAGCTACTATTTCACTAGGAGGTTGGTGAAGCCCTGAAATGGGTTACTTAGGGAGGTGATGGAATCTCCATCCTTAGAGGTTTTTAAGGCCCAGCTTGACAAAGCCTTGGCTGGTATGATTTAGTTCGTGCTGGTCCTGCTTTGTGCAGGGGGTTGGACTAGATGACCTCCTGAGGTCTCTTCCAACCTTAGTATTCTATGATTCTGTGCTGTTCCAAAGTAGCAAATACCCAGTAGAACCTACTTTTTCATGGAATAATTCCCAGAACTGCGGAGCACTCCTCAATCAAACATGTCCAAAGATTTCAGAGCATCAAAGGCTAAAAGGAGGGAGCTTGTCCCATGTGGCAGGAAGCAGTGGCTACTATCTTGGGATCTTTGTATTTGAAGCACTGAAAGCTTTCCTCAAGCACTCTGATACCATGATGAGGAGTGTAGCATAAAATACCAAGCTAAATAGACTCAATAAGCATGTTAAAATGGAAACAAAACTTGGGAAGTGCCAAGTGAAGGGATCACTCAGAAGAAGTCATCCTCTGAGCTAGCAAATGAAACAGAAATATGTTTAAAATGGGGTAGGTAGGAGGGGATTGTGAGATTAGGGATTTGTGGGTTCATAGAATCGCTAACAGAATGAGATTGTCACCTCCGGGCTACTTTTTAACATAGTGACCAGTCAGTCGTCGGTGAAAGTCATTTCAACCTATGTGTTCTATAGTAGTAACCAGGTTTCAGAGTAGCAGCTGTGTTAGTCTGTATTCACAAAAAGAAAATGAGTAATTTGTTAGTCTCTGAGGTGCCACAAGTACTCCTTTTCTTTATAGTAGTAACCAGTAAATCTCAACATTTACCAGTAGTTATTCAAGGTGTTGTCATGGGTTTCCTGTAAAAAGGGGAAATACAGAAGATCTGAGAATCAGGCTGTGGTAACCAATGGTAAATTATGACTTGTTATGGTAACAACTATATGTAAATAAATTGATATTTTGGTGATTAGTCCTTCAGACCCCACACATGGGTTTTTTTTCTTGTTTTCACAAGTTCATCTCACCATCAGCTCAGAACAGGCTCCCCAGTCTTACGGGGCCTCAGTGGGCCAAAGACCTTCCAACCCTTCCCTAAGGACCAGGGGTCCTGCCTCTTGGGTTTATCAGAAAGAAGACCTTGAGTCAGTTTTAACTCAGGCTGTTTAACTAAAAATCCACCCTTTGTCTCACAGACTGATAGAATTTAAGGCCAGAAGGAGCCACTAGATCACCTAGCCTGACCTCCTGTATAGCACAGGCCACCAACACCATCCAGCACCTGTAAAGAGACTGCAGTTTTACAGCCCATAGGAGACTAAATCTACTAATGAGAAGCACTGCAGCAGATCTAGGTGGTATTATTATGATTAACTATCAATCTGCTCTATCAATCTGCTCTGTCTTGACCGTGGCTTTTTCCCATGCCTCCAGTGACATTCAATTCTCAGCTTCCCATTACATACAAGCTGGCCTCTGCTATACCCAAACAATGTACTGTGTGCAAGCTGGTTTCCTTTCCAACTGCATGTCAGGATCCGGTTGCATCTTTACAGGGACCTGGCTCCTTAGAGTGCTCATCAGTCTCAGGAGCAATAAGCACTGCAGGATACTGTGTTGCATGAGAAAGGAATGGGGATGCACTGGAACCCAATAGAAGGGCAGCTGAGCATCACTATACATTGTAAATTTACAGAGCTCAGGGTAGATAAAGGAGTCATCCGAGGCCACAGGCACAAAGGCAGCTGTCAAGAGGGAACCAGTGACCTAGAGAGAGAGCTGTAATCTGACAAAGAGGAAATGAACAGGCTGAGAGGAGCAGCGATAGTTTTGGAAATTCAGAAAAGCATTCAAATGCAAGTTCCGTATACCTGCTGTAGTAGTGAGCTATTGTGTATAGGAGGTTTTTGCTGGTAAGATTCAGACTGACTTGTAAGATATTGAGTGCTTGAGCTGAAGCCTCAGGGGCACCTGATGCTGTAGCCCAGCAGTTCTCAACCCGCAGCTCACAGGCCGCATGCGGCCCAATTAGCACACAGCTGCGGCCCAGCTCAGCTGTGTGCTGAAGGGTGGCCTTGTGGGCCGGGGTCCCACCAGGTGAGAACCACTGCTCTAGCCAGTCACATTCCTGACCAGGGGAGAGAGATCAATTAGTTAATTAAGAGGCAGTTTTATATGAAGATAGATGAATGATTTCTGCCAGGCATAGTTTGAGTTGCACCTATTTGCATCAGGCCTGAATTTGGTGCAAGGTATTTTTAATAGACTTTGCCAGTATAGAAGCCAAATTTACTTTAGAGCCAGTCAGGAAGTGCCTGCATTGTAAAAGATTCTTGCTCCGGATAATATTAATTACATAGACCGGGGTAGGCAAATGTGCCAAAGGCGGCACGTGAGCTGATTTTCAGTGGCACTCACACTGCCCGGGTCCTGGCCACCGGTCCGGGGGGGCTCTGCATTTTAATTTAATTTTAAATGAAGCTTCTTAAACATTTTAAAAACCTTATTTACTTTACATACGACAATAGTTTAGTTATATATTAAAGACTTACAGAAAGAGACCTTCTAAAAATGTTAAAATGTATTACTGGCACGCAAAACCTTAAATTAGAGTGAATAAATGAAGACTCGGCACACCACTTCTGAAAGGTTGCAGACCCCTGACAGAGACACTCTGTGATGCAAAGACCAGCCTGTGCTTCAGACTATAAAATCAGGCTCCTATAAAGCTATCCTTTTGATATACCAATGAAAGAGAATTCAGCATTTCCTAACATCATTTTAAAATCCTGATGTCAGCAGACAATGAAGACACTTCGGGCATTTATGACTCAAGCAAGGCCTGTTGTTTAACCAAACAGATTGTCCGAGTTCTCTCTAAAGTTTATTTATAAGAAGTTTTGTTCTGTTATATTGAGCTGTATGTGAGAACATAATTTACAGTAAAATGTTTCATTTTACTTCCTGTCAGAAAGTGGCCATGGATTTGCATTTAGATCCCTCTCTAAAAATCTCAGTTGCATGATTTTAAAGGGATAAATTATTGAGCTCCACTTACAGGCTTTTTATGAAACTCATGTTTCATGGACTCCACAAAATTGTGTCACACCAGCCGAGGGTTAGCCATAAAAGTAACCGATAATAAAAGGAGGTGAGGGAGAAATTCTGCAAATGCTTTTAACAAAAACATCAACTGAAATTTTAATGTCAGTATAAAATAGATTAGCTGAGATTTCAAAAAGGTGAGCAGGAATTTTAATCTTCACAATGGAACAACAAGGCCAGACTTCAGAAATAGGCAGAAAAAGGAAATACATTAATAAATAGGCCACAGTTGAATGTCAACAATAAGGTTGTTTCCTGGGCAACTTACTACCTTATGCCAATTATTTCTGGATCTGAAAACTGCCTGAAAATCAAAAAGGACTGGAGAATTACAGTGGCATTCACTAAAATCCAGATCCAAAACTCATATAAGTCAACGAGACTCTTTCCATGGACCACAGTGGGATTTGAATGAGGCCCTAAGAATCTGAACTGTGTTTATAATACTATGGTACACATCCTCTTTAAACAGAGGATTTATGAAATGTCCATTGACATCAGAATCACTTTACACCAGTGTTGTTGATCCAGTGGAGAGATCAACTCTTGTGTTACTGTTCCTCGCTGGAGTGGGCATGGCAGTAGAGAGACAGTTTTATACGAGCAAGAATTGCTTTTATGTCACTGATACGTTTTCTGTTTTTCTGACCCTTTTATGTGCACAGGATTCTGGAATTGACATTGGTGATATTTCTGAGAGGAAGGCCCTGAGGAAAAAACTGCAGTGCAAGACCTTTAGGTGGTATCTCGTCAGTGTGTATCCAGAAATGAGAATGTACTCAGACACGATCGCCTATGGGGTGGTAAGGATCCTGTTTACCTTGATCATAGAAAAAAGAATAATAGTGGAAGTAATTCATGCAGACACTGCGTAGTTCCAGATAAGAGCCAGATCAAACTGGGAGTCACTAGTTAAATTGGTGGACTGACTGGTTAGTTGAAAAAGACTGTTGTGCTATAATACTTCATGCCAATACATTCCTGTGTATTGTCTTTTTTGCCTGTTCTTTTCACAGATTTTGTTAAAGTGAAAGATTTCTGGGGTATAATTTTATTAGAAGCTACAGAGCTGTTGGCTGGAAATTGTGGTGAATACATGTAGTTTGTGTGAATTCACTTAGTTTTTCACATATAAGCCCCTTAATATAATATCAAATCATGTATATAGAGGTTCATACAGACAGGTATGCTCCTAAGGATTATTATTATCATTGCATACTATTTATGTTACAGTAGCTCCAACAGGCCACAGTTGAAATCAGGGCCTGATTATGCTAGGCCAGTGTACTAAAACATAGTAAGAAACAGTACCTGCCCCAAAGAATTTACAACCTAAATGGAAAAAACAGACCATGAATAGTAGGGGAAATGAGCGCAGAGAGGTAAAGTGATTTGCCCTTGGGCACAAAGCAGGTTAGTGACAGAACCAGAAAAAGAACCCCTATCCTGACTCCTAGTCCAGTGCCTCATCCATTATCCTGCACTGGGTTCTCTGAGTTCTGCAGTTTGTCAGCCGTGGAGATCCGGTTGGATCTAGGTTTGCCAGGTGCTCGATTTTCAACCGGGCTGATCAGGCCATTAAAAGTCCTGTTCACGGTGCTGTAGGGCTAAGACAGGTTAGTCCCTACCTGTCCTGGCACCACGCTGCGCCCTGGAAGCAGCCAGCTCCTAGGCGGGGGGAGCACAGGGCTCTGCATGCTGCCCCCACCCCGAGCACTGGCTCCACACTCCCACTGGCTGGGAGCCACAGCCAATGGGAGCTGGGGAGGGTGGTGCCTGTGGGCGAGCACAGAGACTTCTGCCCCGCCCTTTCCCCACCTAGGAGCCGTACCTGCGCTGCTGACCGGGAGCTACATGAGGTAAGCCTGTGTCCCTGAGCCCCCCGCAACCCAGAGCCCCCTCCTGCATCCCAGCTTCACCCCAGAGCTCTTCCACACCTCAACCCCCTGCCTCAACCTGAAGCCCCCTCCTGCACTCTGAATCCCTTGGCCCCACCCCCCCCAGGCCTGGAGCTCCCTCCTGCACCCCAAACCCTTCATCCCCGGCCCCACCCCAGAGTTTGCACCCCAGCTCCCTGCCCCAGCCCAGAGCCCCCTCCTGCATCTTGAACTCCTCATTTCTGGCTCCACCCTGGAGTCCACACCCCCAGTTAGAGTCCTCAACCCGCCCCCCCCCCAGCCCAGTGAAAGTGAGTGAGGGTGGGGGAGAACGAACCATCGTGGGAGGGAGAATGTAGTGAATGGTGGGGGCGCAGCTTGGGAAAGGGGCAGGGCTAGGGTGTTCAGTTCTGTGCAGTTAGAAAGTTGGCAACCCTAGTAGGATCCTGTAGGGCGGTAGCACATTTTAGCGAATAGAATGAATCATAGAATCATAGAATATAAGGGTTGGAAGGGACCCCAGAAGGTCATCTAGTCCAACCCCCTGCTCGAAGCAGGACCAATTCCCAGTTAAATCATCCCAGCCAGGGCTTTGTCAAGCCTGACCTTAAAAACCTCTAAGGAAGGAGATTCTACCACCTCCCTAGGTAACGCATTCCAGTGTTTCACCACCCTCTTAGTGAAAAAGTTTTTCCTAATATCCAATCTAAACCTCCCCCACTGCAGCTTGAGACCATTACTCCTCGTTCTGTCATCTGATACCATTGAGAACAGTCTAGATCCATCCTCTTTGGAACCCCCTTTCAGGTAGTTGAAAGCAGCTATCAAATCCCCCCTCATTCTTCTCTTCTGCAGGCTAAACAATCCCAGCTCCCTCAGCCTCTCCTCATAACTCATGTGTTCCAGACCCCTAATCATTTTTGTTGCCCTTCGCTGGACTCTCTCCAATTTATCCACATCCTTCTTGAAGTGTGGGGCCCAAAACTGGACACAGTACTCCAGATGAGGCCTCACCAATGTCGAATAGAGGGGAACGATCACGTCCCTCGATCTGCTCGCTATGCCCCTACTTATACATCCCAAAATGCCATTGGCCTTGTTGGCAACAAGGGCACACTGCTGACTCATATCCAGCTTCTCGTCCACTGTCACCCCTAGGTCCTTTTCCGCAGAACTGCTGCCTAGCCATTCGGTCCCTAGTCTGTAGCTGTGCATTGGGTTCTTCCGTCCTAAGTGCAGGACCCTGCACTTATCCTTATTGAACCTCATCAGATTTCTTTTGGCCCAATCCTCCAATTTGTCTAGGTCCTTCTGTATCCTATCCCTCCCCTCCAGCGTATCTACCACTCCTCCCAGTTTAGTATCATCCGCAAATTTGCTGAGAGTGCAATCCACACCATCCTCCAGATCATTTATGAAGATATTGAACAAAACCGGCCCCAGGACCGACCCTTGGGGCACTCCACTTGATACCGGCTGCCAACTAGACATGGAGCCATTGATAACTACCCGTTGAGCCCGACAATCTAGCCAGCTTTCTACCCACCTTGTAGTGCATTCATCCAGCCCATACTTCCTTAACTTGCTGACAAGAATACTGTGGGAGACCGTGTCAAAAGCTTTGCTAAAGTCAAGAAACAATACATCCACTGCTTTCCCTTCATCCACAGAACCAGTAATCTCATCATAGAAGGCGATTAGATTAGTCAGGCATGACCTTCCCTTGGTGAATCCATGCTGGCTGTTCCTGATCACTTTCCTCTCATGCAAGTGCTTCAGGATTGATTCTTTGAGGACCTGCTCCATGATTTTTCCAGGGACTGAAGTGAGGCTGACTGGCCTGTAGTTCCCAGGATCCTCCTTCTTCCCTTTTTTAATGGCTCTGTACTTGAGAGGTATTTTATAATTATTTGACTGCTTTGGATGGTCAGTTGAAATTATAGGGCTGGCTTTTCATGCAAGTCAAATAGACAAGAAGAACCCATCCAAAAAGTTATAAGGCAAATATGACAGGCCTCGATGTGAGGATATTGACTTCACTGGAATTGTGCTCAGTTATACTAGAACTGAATTTGGCCCAGATTCTTTTAAGGATAGATTAGACTTCCTAGTAAATGGGTTCATATTTCTCCTGCCAGGCATAGAAGCCTGGAGCATTTTTGATCACAGATATGAATAGGAAATGAGTGAAAAAGGAAACACACAGGTGGAATAACTGAGTTACTTGACACATCCTTCTTGGACTAATTCAACATTTATTTGACAGGTACAGATGAAAAGCACGGAACAGGCCTTCTAAGATTTTGACTCTCTTGAGCCTGTCTCAGCATCCACAGAAGGATGCTGGCAATACCAAATAAGCTTGGTATACAGCAAGAGTGAGTGTTCATACATCACACTGTTATGTGATGCAGAACCAAAGAGCCCAATATATAAGTCATCAGGGCATCTCTGGTCAATACATATATATTATGAGTGTGCCACAACACGGGGCCTGATATAATCTATTGACCGCAGCATGTCAGTACATTAATGGCCTCATAATTTAGCTGGGAGCTGTAGTGGAAGTCTTATTCCACTAACTGTGTACTTCTGAAAAATGCCTGAAAATAATGGACCATATGACAAAGCATTAGAGAGAACTCTAGAGCTCTAGAGTTACAGAGGCTTGCAAGAGACACTGCATTAGGAAATAAAAACACACTGTCACCTGATCTTCATAGAGGGAGTGGTATTTGGTTCCCTCTTCTGTTCGTTCTTCATTTCTTCTTTTCCACTTGTTTGCTAAGCTTGTAATGAAGGAAGAAGTGCCATGGAAATGCAAATCAGCTGCTAATTTAGATTTTAAATATTGAAGTGCTTACCTGCTTGGATCACTGCTCTGCACTTACCAAAGATATCTGATTTTCTGGGATGGAGATTTTGTTGTCAGTAATGAAAAAAATTAACAAAAATGCTGCATTATTACAAAAGGAAATTGGAATCAATACATTTTTTCATTATTTGATCAGCTGGAGACTCAGATGTTGCCAGTCTCCACTGTAAGATTGTAATTTAGGCTATGTGTGCACTTGGAAACTAAGCAGTGTGTGATAGCACTGGATTATGTGCAGTTGGTCAGGTGTGCGCGCTAACTATATGAAGTCTTTCTTGTGCTTTTGCCCAGCATCCACACTAGTGTTGTTCTAAACCATCTCATTTGAAATATCCTCGAGTACCTATCTGACATCTCCCAGAGGCAGTGGATTCTGAGAGAATTCAAAAGGCCACCAGTCCACTTTGGGCCAGTAGTGTGTAGACTCATTGAACTGATTCATCTAGTTCATATCCATGCTGGCACTAAAAAGGAGAGAAGGCCTATAGCAGAAATGAGCATGGAAAGAGTGAAGTACGTCAAGAAGATGGCAGAGGTTTACTCATTCAAACAGCGCAAGAAGCATAACAAGAATAGTGATGATCTTGAATCGAGAGAGGAAGGTGCAAGTAACCATAGTGACAATGGAATAAAATGGCAGCACTATGTCATTAATGTCAATAATAATAAAGGGAAGGATGGTTTTATAGTTAAGGCACTCAGGAAATCTGAATGTAATTCTCAGCTCAGCCACAGACGATCTGTCTGACACTGGGCAAGTCACTCATCTCTCTATGCTACAGTTTTCTATCTGTAACATGTGGATAATACTTCCTTTCTCCCACACTTACTGTATCTCTGTGAGCTTTTCAGGGTACAGACCGTCTCATTACGTGTATGTGTATGTGCACTGACTAGCACAATAGGGATCTGATCTCAGTTGAGGCCATTGCTGAAATGTTAATATTAATCGTGTCCCCTGAGCTGTCCCTGTTTTGGTGCAACTCTGCATCACACTAGCATTGGGCAATATGCCCAATTTGGTCCAATGTGTCAGAACAACAGCGAAGTATTAGGTTTATTATGGTTAAGTAATTTAGATGGAAATGCTGTAGGTACATAAAATTACTCCATTGGAAATGTGTATAAAGTAAACTAAATGATAAATATTTCACCTCATTGCTTTTCTATGTTCTGAGATGAATAGTTTGTCTATACAGGATATTGAGACTTTGGTTTCATAAGATATGTGCTCCTTCTAGGAGGGCCCCTTTGAGTCCCATGCATATAAATTACACATATAATCCTGTGGTACCTAAATTCTCACTTACTTATTTCATTCTCCATCCCAGAGGCTCAAGGTGATCAGAAGTCCTTCAGAATGTAAATTTCTTATGAGACTCCTTGCAGAGCCTTTCATCTTTATTGGAAGGAAAAGCTCTTTCAGAAACTGAGTGGTGTGCTCTTAGATAAATTGCTCAATAAATCCTTCATTCTTTGTAGCAATGTGGATTGTGAGTCGATGGAGCTATGCCAGTCTACGCCAGCTGAGGATCTGGCCCACTGATGCTGTTGGGACTGCTTGTGGGACAGGGTACATCATTAGTAATGGTATCAGAATCTGGCATTATGTTTTAGTCCATTTGGGACTGATGCTAAGTGGTCCTGGGCACTTTTAGGGAGTTTCATGGGCCCTCAACTCCCATTGATATAATAGAAACTGAGTAAGAAGTTCAGGATTTAATCTACAAACAACAAGAGCATACAGCATATGTTTAATTCAGGGAAGAATTTGATCCAGCTGTTTTCTCTCTAAATGCACTCTTAACCTCACACAGACAAGTGTCTTTATTATGAATGTTTCCTTCTCTCAGGTAAATATGATTTTCTTGCAAAGAAATTGAAATGATTAAATATAGTCCATTCTAACACACATTTGGTTTCTTTTTCTCTCTGTCTATTCTAGCTGCAGAATTCCCTGAAAAGTGATTTGTGCCTTGATCAGGGGCCAGACACAGAAAATATTCCAATCATGTATATCTGCCATGGAATGACACCACAGGTTAGTATGACTAATGATCTCATATATGGCTGCTGCTTTTAGTAGGCTGTGTAGGAGGAACCATATTGTAACCATCAATGTTTTTTTCCTGCTACAGTACCTCCTTAGGCTGTTTGTTAGAGATTTTATAGAAAATTGGAACATTACTTGTGCCATAATGTCGAGAATCACTTGTGTATTAATTAGTGCTTTGACAAGGAAGCTTATTTATTCATTTTGGAAGACTATAAGCAACAAGAGGCATGAATTAGTGCTACATTTAGCAGGAATTGTTGGCATAAGCTTTTGTTATTTATCTCTTTTAACTGTGTCCCTGATATGAATGCAACAGTAAGCTCTAAAGAAGATATAATTGTATTTATAGCAAAATTTTCTGTTTTGGGCTGCTGTATTTACTGTCTTTGTTCTGGGAATTTGAAAGGTATAGCACCCTACTTCAAAGTGCATTACAGACATGTACAAAAAATAAATTAATACCTGCAAAAGCCCTTTATTCCAGGCCCTTTTTACATTCCCTAACACACGCTCATTTTGTTCAGAATGGGTCAGACTCAAATTATCAAAGCCCTTGCATTTACTGAAACAGCTGGATTTAATAACTGACAAATAAGAGTTTGAACATGTAGCCTCTTCTTGAGTGACTAACGATCTGGACACATGTAAAAGCATTCTCATGCAGCTACTTAAACTACCACCTGCGTGGTCCAGAACTTGCCTGTCAGAGACAGACCGTGCAAAGTAGTTGATATTGGAAGATCACTTAAACAAAAATCTGTAGAAGAAAAATAGTCATATTTTGATTACATGTTGTAGAGCAAAATACCCCTGCGTTTTAGAATACATGAGGGTGATTGAAAGCATTTACTCCCTTCCTTTGCTAGTGCCTAGTAATAATCAGCAGAAAATTTTGCTCTGGTTGTTTTTATGCAAGCATTGTACAAAAGGACCTTGATACTCTTCATTTATATAAATGTGTGGGATGTGGTGCTGTTCATAGAACCATCAATTACTTGATTTGATTACACAGCAAAGGAGGATCATAACACTAGCTAGCTAAGACATAAACAAGTGCACATAGAAAAGGTAACATTGATCTTCCATCTATGGGTAACTTAGTTGGAAACTTAAACCTGATGAAATTGTTGGTGTTGGTTATATAATACCTTGCAAAGTTATGTGTTCTGCATTTTCAGCTCTGCACTGATTTCCTTTACTGAGAGCTTTTAATATTGATCCCTAGAGAGATCCTGCTTGAGTAAATTATGAATGATGAAGAGAAAAATATCAGAGAGTCCCATTTATCACATGCATCCACTGCATAGACTGCGGCTTATTTTTCACATAAGTATGCTGATAACTAGTGTGTTGCCTCCAGGAGCTTTTTAAGCTGGTCCTCATTGTTAGCTAAGTAACTACCTACCTCTGATGTAAATCACAAGTTTGCTGGAGTCATTATTCTTCACCTTCTGGGAAGGTGCAATAATTCTCTTCTGGCATATCATCTTGATAACAGTCTACATACACTGTTGTAAATTAAAATTGGAAATTTTAATTATAGTTAAGTGGCAAAAAAAAAGCCCCCTTAGTTAGCACCGTTCAGCATTCACTGTAAACTATTTTTGAATGCCAGTCAAAGCTCTGCATAAATGAGATATGGGTAACAAAAATATGGGGATGGGGGAGAGAAAGAAGAACCCTCTTGATGGGAGCATGCTCCTTTCATAATTACAGTGTTGTTTGCATCTCCTCACCCATTAACATGATTTCAGGTTTTTTTTTAAAAGCTATGATACTGTCTGACTCTGCCTGGGATTAGAAAATGCGTGAGATCTCTCTTTAAAGAGGAACTTGCTGTTTCCCCATTCAGGGACATGTACTTGGCCAAATTGTGTGCCACTACAGTAGCACAAAGGACCCATACATTTTACTGAATAGGCATCTGGAAGATTTCCTCTGTGTAGAGGGAATCCCCGTATTTATGGCATAGACCCAAGCCTCTTCCCAGCAACTGGCACAGAGGGAGTGGTTGGTTCAAGGTCCCTTTGTGTAATCTGGCAGCTCACACCTGTGGCCATGGACCTAACACAGTATGCATCCGATGAAGTGAGCTGTAGCTCACGAAAGCTCATGCTCAAATAAATTGGTTAGTCTCTAAGGTGCCACAAGTCCTCCTTTTCTTTTTACTTAGTGTTAAGTTTGTTGAAGAAGAAAAAAATAGTTGGAAAGCAGTAACACTGTTTAATGAGGAATACTGGCCCAGTCCTGAACCCCCAACTCATGTGAGCAGTCCCAGTGAGACTAGTCAGTGGGACTCATAGCAGGGGCCAGGACTACTGGTGTGAACAGGCGTTGCAATATGAGGCCTTGGCTAGAAAAATCCCATACGCCTCATGTCCGAGGTTCATTCGTTTCTTAGGCTACGTCTACACCGCGAGCATGGGTAGTGGCAACAGAAGCATGGCTTGAGCGTGCTGAATACTCAGTGCAGCTAAGCCATGACTCTGCTGCCATGGCCTGTGCTACTGCAGCTTACCCTGCTGTTTATACTCACGCAAGGTCTGCATACACAAGCAGGGGAATCACACCCCTAGCTCATAGTGTAGACGCAGCCTGACAGGCGTTTTGGCTCTTCCAAGACCATTCTAATATTAGGGAGAGGAGGTAATGTGCAGGAAACTGTGTGGTTTAAACAATGTTCTACCCTGGTCCGTGATGCAATTTTTACAACTTCCTTAATCCTTTCCTCTCTTAGAAATTGGTTTCTTCCTTCTTAAACCAGTATAAAGTGCTCACTGGAGATAATCTTTCATTTTCCTTATAGGACCCTATGCATTTCAAAGTGCACCGATATGCTGACTAGAGAGCTTCTTATAGCTGATTACCACAAGGCCAGTGCATGTATCCTACAAGGAGAAGAGTCACAGTAAAATAAATAAATAAAAAAAATGTGCATAAGCACACTCCAGAAAAATCATTATAGGGTAATAGCATAAGATGCACCGGACCAAGAGAAGAATTCAGGGCTTGTCATGCATTTCAGTACTTTGGTTTTCACAGAGCATTCATATATTTGATAGATTTAATAGCAAATAAGTCAGGGGTAGAATGCATTTTAATAAAGGATGTGTTTGTGGACTTAAATAGAACCCTTAGAAATATGTATGAGGATGAATTCATATGATCATAAAAAACAAGTTAAAAATGGAAAAGACCCATTAGGTCATTAGGCCATCTGCTTGACAATTCAGGATTTTTCCCTAAGCTACTAGTATTTGTTCCTATATTTTCTCCATTCTAGTTTTAAATATTCCAGGCTAAAGAGCTTCCTCTATTTCCCTCGGGGGACTATTCTACAGCCTGTCAGGAAGTTTTCCCTGATATGCAGCCTAAATTTTTCCTTTCTTCTCATTACTTCTAGCTATAGCCTCTTTTTCCATCATGAATAATTTCTTGCTCTGTGCTAACCCCTTTCAAATCTTTGAAGACTCTGATCTAGTTCCCCTTTTACTCATCACTTAGTCAAGCTATTTGACACCAGCTCTTGAAATTGCATAGCTGTGGAATGTGTAAATGGCTACTCTTTTCTTTTAGCATGATTCACACACATGGGATGATTACACTCTTTGAAAAGGGAATTGTGAAGTTAAAATATAAGAGTGCATAGCACTGTTTTGTGGCCAGTGGCAAGTATGTCAAACATCCCTTTGTAATTAATAATGCTTTCAAAAGTGCCAAAGAACTGCTCTCAGACTGCATAATGGAATAACCAGAGATTGTTCTCACTGCACAAAACAACAGCTGTTTTTAAGAGGCATTAGAATTAATAATGAGTGAGCCTAAAATGTTTGAGGTTAACCAAACTTTCACCAACTCCCTTCACATGATTGCTGTACTACTTATAAAGAATTAATATGTATTATTAGCCCTTCCATACAAGAATCTCAGAGTACGTGAATGAATGAATAAATATGCCTGTGAGTATATTATTGTCACCATTATACAGATAGGAAAACTGAGGCACAGTTTTTCTGTGGTCATGCAGTGAGGCAGTGGTGGAATGGAGAATAGAATTCAGAGAATCTTGACTCTTAGTCCCCTGTTCTGTCCACTAACAAGAGCTACCAGGCCAACATGACCATCTCCACCCAATTTCTACTACGTGTGACCCATATCTTGTCTTCTGTTATTCAGCCTTTGCAACTGGCCAATTTGTCATTTGTCCCAGCCTCTAGCTCTCTCCATCCCACCAGGACTCCTAGTCTTTGCTTCCTGTCTTTATTTTCAGCTTAGTATTTTGAGGCCAAATTCTCTGTTGGTGTAAATTGCTATAGCTCCATTAAGTTCAACAGAACTGCACTAATTTGCAGCAGCAGAGAATTTGGCTCATAATTGTTTTTTAAAATAGAAACAATGGAGAAAAGGAGAAAAAATGCACACTTACATATGCAGAGCAGGATATGTTACAATGAAGAAAGGTGAAAATTGGCTTTTTACGTACATATGTGATTTAAATGCACATGTTTAAAGTTGTCATAAACTTTGCGAGTGGGTATGGGAGTTGGTGTGTACTTTATACAACACAAAATACTCAGTAACTTCTCATTCTTTTCAATCAATGTAATTATTCATTGGACTCCAGATGAAAATGTTCCTTTCTGTTATGTTTGGAAGCATAAATCCTACCCAGTTTGTTCTTCCTAACAATGGAATGTATCCAGAGGCAAAGAGTTTTTTCAGCTTTGTAAAATAATTTTGTGGCTATTATCCAAGTATCTATAAATATTTATGTTCCCACCAATTTGCTCCTTTGAATATTAATAAAGGCATAGTCCTAGTTGGACTCCTCCAACTGTACATTCATTTTTTCTACACCATGGGGCTTCATAAGTTCCCAGAATGTGGGATGAAGTAAAGGCACCAAGATGCAGCAGAGAGACGACTGTATGCTGCAATGCATCTTGAATGGAAGGAGGATTTAGAAGCCATAGATGAGGGAGACTGAGGCAAGGAGGAATGAGAGAAAGCTGACCAGTCAAACAGAAGAGAGAAAGATGCTAGTTTGGGGCCACACTATATTTTAAAACCCATAGGAGCGAGTTTCAGAGGTTGGGTCTACAGAGTTGGGCTCGCAGGGCTCGTGCTTTGGCTCCAAAAGCAGCAATGTAAAACATTGCAGCTCAGACTGGCGTTCTGGCCCTGAAGTCCGGGGGGGGAGGGAGGGTAGGCTTCAGAGCCCAAGCTCCAGCCCCAGTTGCAATATCTACCCAGCTGTTTTTTAGCACCATGGCATGAGCTCCGCAAGCCCGACTCTGTAGACCTGAGCTCTGAGATGCAGTGCAGTGGGTTCAAATTAGAGTGTAGATACACAGTAAAGGGCCAGATCCTCAGCTGGAGTAAATTGGTGTGGCTCTATTCTAGCCCAAAGAGTTTATGATAGAAGAAGTAGAACTAACTTGATCACTTCACTGCTCCTTGATCCTGCCTACGCTACACCATGATGGGGTGTCAGGATTGAATGGATGTCACTTCCAGAGAGAGGAGTAAACAAGGAATAGAAATAAAAAAGAATAATAGTGAGTGAAAATCCTCAGCAATAAGGGGATGGTTTGTTTTCTTCATAGTCCCTGCCCTCCACTTCCATCCCACCAGAACAGGAAGGGCTGACAAGGATTTTACACATCTTGATTTAACATTCACAGTTAGCCCCTCATTGGGGCTTTTCAATATTAACATATGTTAGAAGTTAATTTAAAATAAATCAATGGTCATTATGCAGGAATTGTGCGTCTGCATGGAGGTGTTCTGCAAGGCATTCTACCTGGAACTTGTGCTGACTACATTAGAGCTGGTCAAACAATGAAAATGATTTCACTCACAATTTTGTAGAAGTTTTAGATTTTTCAATGAAAAAAAATTCATTTTGTTTCAAATTACATTTTGGTTTTTTGAAAAATGAAAATTTGAGTTAAAAATGCAGTGAACATTTTCATTTTTGTTTCCGTTAGAATTTTTTAAAATAAAAAACTCTAAAGCTTCCTTGAAATCGTATCTGTTTTCATTAAATATTTTGATGGAAAATGTTTTGGGTCTAAATATTTTAAACTGCTCTAATCTAAGTCACTTCCAAGTCATCAAGAATGAAGTGCTTACCTCCATTGCACCCACTACTAGCTCTGTATGCAACTTGTTCCTGCCAGCACTATTACACAACCTGGGAGAAAGGTCTGCTTTAAGTGAACTAATATATGCTCGTAAAGAAAAGTCTGGGTTTGGTTCCATTTGGAGGAAAGACTGAAGTTTAAGACCATGCTTATTCATAAGAATCAATAAGCTGACCCACTGGATAGAATTAGAGATGGGCCCTAGCAGCAATATTCAGATCCCAATTTTAAACTTCTGGCTTTTCGCATCCAGGATTTTGGTTTGACCTATTCTAGAGATAGGCTCAGTTGAAAAATTGGGATCTAGATCTTACGTTCTTCTGTTTTGATCATGCTCTTTTTTTCTACCTCGACCCCCCAGTGGATGATTGGATGTGGCACTTTGTTTTGGGCTCATCTCTAAAACACTCAGATCCTTTCAAGAGTCGTGATATCATCTAGCGAGTGCAGCAAATAAATGTTCCACCAACCAAGCAATTCATGGATAACTATTTGTAATGAAGTTAGAGGAACAATACAGGAACAATTAATTATGAATCTTTTAGTTTTCTTTTCCAGGTGTATCTTCTAGAATGGCTATTGCCAAGCTCTTTTTGGATACTGATGAAAATATTCTCATCTCCGTAAATTGTCGCTTCCAAGCAGTATAAATCCTTAAGTAGCTCATCCTCTCCAGGTCCTGTTGTTGCATACCAGTTTACATGGATTGAGGGGACCATTTTATATATTACTAATACATGAATTGTAATTGTGTCCTTCATTTCAGTTCAGACCTTTCATGGTACCTTTCAGTTAGTATCAAAACGTGGAAATATTAAGCTAAGCTGAACACACAACTCATTTTCCCTGGGATTCTTTCCTTTGCTGCCCACAGAATGCTAGGGTATTGCTGTCAGGGCAAGTTTTAGAGGCAGAGAATTATTAATATTTAAGAAAAGCCTATAGCTTTGATGGTTTAGATCCCTGGCTGACTTATAGAAGAACATGCATTCCTTTCTCCTCTATCTGAAAAATTACTGAGTGCCTGTAAATTTCTTTAGCACAAGGGCAGTAAAGAGCTCCTGTGGGAAACAGCACTGATGTATATTTTTAGAAATCATGAGGTCTCTTCTGGTTCACAAATAGGACCAAGTTCCTCACACAACACTCGGCTTCAAGACAAAACCTGTAAGCTTTACAAACCTACATCATGTGCGGAATTTTCCTAACAGAGGGCCTGCTTCTGCTACCTCTGAAGTTAATACTTGTTTGGCCACTGATTTCAGTGGGAGTAAAACCAGATTGAAGAACATATGGAAACCTGCAGATCTGTATTAAAGACTAACCTTCAAATGTTCAGTATTGAAGTATCAGCTCCCTATGGATGAGACATGCCTAGTGAAGCCTCTCACAAAGAATTTTCTAAGGAATTATATAAGGCACAACAGCTGGATTCATAGCTGTCAGTCACCTGTGAACTAAGAGCTGATGTTTATGAAAGGAGTTGACTTGTTTTCAAGGAAAATGATAAATATTTTTGTCTTTTGCACATATGAGTGATTGATTACACACAGACCCTATGCAATATCCTCTCTCTTGAACATGGTGTTACACATTGTTTTGAAAAAATAAGCACAGCCCAACTTTTTAATTGTGAGAATTCTGCCCAAAAAGAATGTGCAGAAGACAGAGCAACTTTATAACAACGGTCAGTGCTACATCGCTGTGAAATGAGTTTCAAATTGTAAATTGAAATGTGTGTGTGACTGGCTCCATGCTCTTAAGAGATGTCAAAACCTAGAGAGTGAGTTTCTTGAGTTTGCTGTTGGAAAATATGATTTATTACGATTTTTATTTTATTTATGAAGTTACATAGTTCCCTCAATATACCGACTGCTTTACAGTACTAAAAAATTAACCAGTCCCTGTTCCAAAGAACGTCTGGTCTCAAGGCACAATGAGTACTAAAACATTATAATACAGAGAAAGCAAAGGCTACTGCATGGCCGTTATAGTTGGAATGCTTCATGAAATGAAAAGGATTTTAGCAGCTCATTAAAGAGGACAGGAAGAGAGTTTGGCACAGGCATTGACTGGGAGGCTGCTCCAAGTGCATGCAAGTTCTTTGATGCAAGGACTGTTTCTTACTATGGGTTTTTTAACAGTGCCTAACAAAATAGGCAATAATATAAATAACAACAACAATAGGTATGATGCCAAATCCTCAGCTCATAAAAATCAGCTTAGGTCCATGGACTTCAAAGGACCAATGCAGATTTACAGCAGCTAAGGATCTAGTCCCTAGATTCTGGAGTAGACAAAAGATAAAGAACACTGATAGGAGAGAAGCATGAGCCAAGTATAGGGAGCAGGTGGGTGTACATTGTAGGCAGAAATTAATTTTAAATCACTGTAGGCTCTGCACTGTAGCTGTCAAGCTGGGAAAAAAAGAAGGTAAAATCTCTGCAAAAGCTTTTACTGAATGGAGCCTTAAAATAGCAAGTAGCTAAAATAATATGATTAATTCATTATGCCATCAGGTTTTGGTATCTTATTATGATCCCATATAACATTTCTTAATTATCCAGTGTGAGGAAGGGCATGCAGTTTCGTAATTATGGTTAATTTATATAGTTTCTCTTTTACTGTGACTTTGAGTTCTTTGTTTATATATTCATTTTACCTGAGCAAATTCCCAGGTTGTGGGGAGGGTGGAGTAGTTTGGAGGGCATATCTGGATAACTTTTTGATTTATTATAATAAATATATAACAAATGAAAGAAAGGGAAGTTGACAGTAATGAATATAAATCTGAAGTTAGGAATTGTAGAATATTCATAAGGGAAGCAGAGACACACAAGGAGAAATTTATGGCCCGCTGAATTAAGTACAATAAGAAGGAGTTTTTAAAATGTATTAGGAACAAAAAGAATCCTGACAATGGTACTGGACCATTACTAGATAGAAATAGTAAAATTATCACTGGTAATGCAGAAAAGACAGAAGTGTTCAATCAATATTTCTGTTCTGCATTTGTGGGTAAAACAGATGATATAGTTTCAGCATGTGGTGATGAAAACAATCTTTCCATTCCACTGGTATCTCTGGAGGATGTTAAGCAACTAAAGTTAGATATTTTCAAATCAGCATGGCTAGATAACTTGCATCCAGGAGTTTTAAAAGAACTGGCTAAGGAGCTAGCTGGACTGTTACTGTTTACTTTCAATAAGTTTTGGAGCACTAGAGGAAGTTCCAGAGGACAGAAAGAAGGCCAATATTATGCCAATTTTTAAAAGAGTAAATGAGATGACCTGAGTAATTATAGGCCTGTCATCCTTACGTGGATCCTAGGCAAGATAATGGGATGACTGATACAAGACTTAATTAATCAAGAAATAAAGGCAAATCAACATGGATTTATGGAAAATAAATCCTGACAAGCTAACATTATATATTATTTAAATGAGATTACAAGTTTGGTTGATAAAGGTAATAGTGCTGACGTAATATAGTTAGACTTCTTTAAGGTACTTGACTTAGTACCAGATGATATTTTGGTGAAAAAAATAGAATGATATAAAATTAACATGGCACACAGTAAATGGATTAAAAACTGGCTAACTGATAGGTCACAGAATTTAATTGTAAATGGGGAATCATCATCAAGTGAATGTCTCTCCAATGGGGTCAGTTCTTGGTCTTATGCTATTTAACATTCTTATCCATGACCTAGAAGAAAACATAAAATCATCACTGATAAAGGTTGCAGA